CCTAACCCTAACCCTTAACCTAACCCTAAACCTAACCCTAACCCTTAACCTAAACCTAACTCTAAACCTAACCCTTACCTTAACTTGAATCGGCTTGCTTTCAAAGCACTATTTAAAGCGCCCTTCTTTCTCTGTGCTCACTGTTGTCGCCTTGTTGATGACATCAGCGACGCGGTTTAATCGGCGTGCTTTAGTCGAGCGTGGTTTTGTCGTGCCACGGAAATGAATATTAGGCTAGAAAAACATGGGAAAGTCTTTACTGAAGATCTATTCCCCAAAAAGTATTGGAGACTACTTTAATAAACCTTCCCCCAAAACTGGGAGGAAAACTATCAAATGTTGTCAATAATTGACATTTTGTTCCCTCCAAACAGGGCATTACAGCTGTTGCTGAGTTCAGTTTAATGTTAGCAATAAAAGAAACTAGATACTAGGTAAAATATCAACTCACCATTCACTGATCTATAAAACTACTTGAAAAGCCATTTTATTAAAAAAAATTATCTAGACCCAAATTCATTGAGCAAACGGAGGTTTTCTGGGAAAGGAATATGGAGATTTGAGGGAATAAAATTAATTGAAAACCTTGGGAGCAGGCCTTTCCCATCTCCTCAGAAAATCAATGTGTGCTTAAAGGAATAGATGAAATGACTTTTGCTATGACCTCTAGCGGACATAATACAACAAAGCATGAAATTTTGACTACTCAAAACATTTCTTTCAGAGGGATATGGTTTGATCTGACACTGTGTACTCTGTCTGACCCTGCATGTTGCATGGCTATTTTGAGAGCAGGGACAGCATATGTGTGTATTTTGAAGGGATTCAGTTAAAATATTTTGCCTCAGTAGACTAAGACAGGAGAGAAAGTCTTGTCCATCTTTAAGGGACTGTGCTCATCTCTGTTTCCTAGCTAAGACCAAGGTCCAGGGAATGCAGCAATCTGCCCCCCCCCCCCCGAAGTGGCACTTATTTATCTACTTGCATTTACATGCTTTCAAACTGATAGGAGAGGCCCCTCTTTAGGGACCAGTAATAGATTAACAGTATAGCAAGCTTCCTAGCAGGGCAGGAGGGGGATCCAACTGTCTTCAGCCCTTAGCATCATCAGTTCAGCCTTGGAGAATAACTTTTGACTAAAACACAATGCTGTGAAATGATCTGATAAACAGAATCCTTTGACAGGTAATTAAAAAAAAAACCCAGCAAAACCTCTGACTAACCTGGGATGCATACGCAAAACAGTAATTATTAGTAATTTGCAAAATATTAGATGCTGTCTTCATCACAAATTGAATAAATTATTCTAACAGTCATTGTTTTAGTCATTTGATAGAAAGCTCTTTAAACCTTGCCTCATTTAATTCCATTAGCATGCATCTATCATTCCTGAAATCATACTTAAAAATAAAAGAAAAAGAAATGATATATTTTATTTTTCTTTCTACTCTTCTCTGTATTTGTATCTCAGCAGTTTTTCAAATGTTGGATCACAATATAAACACAACCAATACAAATAGACTCAAAGGTTTCTTGCATACTTACAATACTTTGAGTGTATTTGGATTAATTATGCATATAAAGAAGATTTTAGCATTTAAATCTGTTCCCAATATATTTGCGTCAGTTATAGACATACCAGCTAAACAGAACTGTATAGTTCAGAAGAGAAAATGGGCATCAGTCCAATTATAAATGGAAATGACTAATGGATTTTAAGCTAAAGTGCAAAGGCATGAGGATTCTGTTCTGACCTGTGAATAAACTAAATATAAAAATGATCCTTGTCACATGCCTCAAGTGGAAAAAAATATTTGACTGCAGAGATAAGCCATTTACTTGCCAATTATCAATAACAGATATCGTGACATATCTTAAATTCAAAGCTGATATAAAGTCCCTGACTATAAGGAGCTGCCTCATTCTCCGTCATTCAGGTTTCTTAATTCAGTTCTTGTAACCATGACCGGCAGCTCTCCAAGATTTCATAACTGGGAACATTTTCAACTTTTCTTGGAGAAACTGGAAGTTGGCCTTTTTCCATATAAACTATTGTGTTCAATTTCTAAACATAACCCCTTCTCTTTTTATTCCCACAAAGACTGTCTGAAATCGGTTATAGTAAATATTGGCTATAGTTTCAATTAGCTGAAGGGGAATACAAATATACGTAGTTTCCTTTCTATTAAAGGGAAAATGATGAAAAGTATTAAGATTAAAAATCAAGAAAACCTAAGAACCAAAGTACAGGAAAAAAAATGTTTCAAGAGTAGAAAATACTTAAAGGGACAACTAAGTTACTATAACTTTTAGAGGGACTGAATAGGCTTCTCTTCACGATGTCATCAGGTGCATGTTAAAATATATATATTTTTTAGCAATAGCAGTGGACTTATGTACCGCTTCATAGGCCTTTCAGGTCTCTCTAAGCGGTTTACAGAGAGTCAGCATATTGCCCCCAACAATCTGGGTCCTCATTTTACCCACCTTGGNAAAAAAAAAAACATTAAAAAAAGAGATTGTACATAATGTTAGAAGTATTTCCAATTAAGTCTATGATTGATGTCATTGTTGTGTTTAACTTTATTCAAAGGACTTGCAAGCATAGCCTTAATGGACTGAGGCTGAAACTTCTTTAGAAATAGGCAATCAGCCGAGAGAAGTATGCTGGGAGGCATGCTAACGTCCAAGGTAAGATAACCGAGGTTTCACCTCCTCTTTTATTTTATAGTAATGTTTGTTAGGTAAACTTTACTTTTCTTTTGATGCTGATTCAACAGCTGATTTTCTTACCCGGATTTCATTTTTATACCCACAGAAAGAAAATTGCAAGATCGTTATGCAATAATAAATGCAAAAGGACTTTGTCTGCTGCTGGCTCTGCTTCATACCTGCCTAGGGCATTTGCCTGAATTAAAACTGCTTTGATGAAATGACATTCAGAATTTGAATATGAACATGTGAAAATGAACACCAAAACCTGTGGTCTGGCATGAACAGCAATGTATTCATACTGGTTCTCTTCCTTATACACAGATCTTTGTTACCATGGCTGATGGGTCATCTGGCAGGACAAGATAATAATGCACATTTAAACCACTAAGTATAAAAAAGAAGACAGACAATTACCTTAAAAACAAAAAAAAGATGAGTAATTAGGTTGCTAATGAAAAGAGCTGGCAAAATAACAGATCTGATGCAACTTACGAATCAAATATCGAACACTCATAGAGCTCATCAAACTAATGAAGCTATTATAAATGACATAACTAGAACAAGAAAAGTATCAGAATGCCTAAACAAGGATTACAAACACTGCATCTTAGCAGCAACTGATAAAATGAAGAAACTTCTGGACAAGGAATACATAAGAAAGAATTCAGGCTGATAGACATGCTAGAACAATTGATAAGATCCCCAAAAGAAGTACTAGGTGTGTGTATAAACTAAAGTACTTGAGTGTAGACAATTATATTGGATAAACAAATATCCCTGTTTATATACAGATTTTTAAAAAAATACCGATATTTTTTTTCAAAAAGGTGAAATGAATGGTTCCACCACAAAACCGCCTTTGACTAAAGGGCGCTCGACGAAACCACGTAGCTGACGTCATCACAGCGCGACAACAGCACGGAGACAGAA